TGACCCCAGGCCCAAAAGAGGCCAGGCTTGCTGCCACAAGGGCCAGGTCCTTTTCGGTGGCGACTCCTATCTGGTGGAATGAGCTCCTGGAGGAGATCAGGACCCTGCGGGACCTATTACAGTTCCGCAGGGCCTGTAAGACGGAGCTCTTCCGCCAGGCTTTTGAATAGGAGCCGCTGCCGCCGCCTCCACTACCACCAACTGGGGCTGGCAAAGCATTCTGCCGGCCATCGAACATCAGGGCCACAACATCCCCCTTGTCTGATTTGAAGGGGATGTGCAATAGGAGTGAGTGGTCAATCGCGTTGGATCCGGGTATAGCCCATTGTACTAACTGTTTTAAAGTGTTTTAATTGTATTTTATTGCACTGTTGTGCCTTGTCTTTGGTATATGGTGCATTGCACCTACATATTGTAAGCCGCCCTGAGCCCACGTGCGGGGAGGGCGGGGTATAAATGAAATTAAATAAATAAATAAACTAGAGAACCTTCAGTGTGTCCAAAATACACAGGAATTAATCTTCAAAAATTCTACAATGCATAATATACAGATTTACAAGTAATTTGGGCATAGTTTATGACCTCTCTGTATTAATGTAAGAATGACTGTTATTGTAAATATTTTGTTATATTGTAGTCCTCTTCTGAAGAAGATAACCGAAACAGGGGACTTATCTAGAATCCTTGTCCTGAACTTTTGGACTGCTGGGCTTTTGGACTGTATATTATGCATTGTACACTTTTTAAGATTAATTCCTATGTATTTTAAACACGTTGAAGGTTCTCAAGTTTGATCTTGAATTAGTTTCTATAGGAAATTAATTAAAATAAAAAGTAAAGGTAAAGGTTCCCTTGCTCGAAAGCCAGTCGAGTCCGACTCTAGGGTTGCGGTGTTCATCTCCATTTCAAAGCCGAAGAGCCAGTACTGTCCGAAGACATTTCCGTGGTCATGTGGCCGGCATGACTAAACACCAAGGCGCACTGAATGCTGTTAACCTTCCCACTGAAGTGGTACCTATTTATCTACTTGCAATTTCTTGCTTTCGAACTGCTAGGTTGGCAGGAGAATTAATAATATACATTACTACAGTTCTTATATTTTGGTAATACTTTATTTAGCATTGGTTCTGTCACTCCCATCAGTCTGTGGGCAGTGACTTCTTATTGTGGAAGGGAGCAAAAACACACTGGGATTTTATGAGAGAGCCTGTGATCTAGGGAATCCCAGAAGCATTATTGTCACTCAAAAAGCACCATCCTGACTCCAACAGAGCAAAGAGGCCAGGAGGCCATATTAATTGGGCGTATCTCACAGAGGCAAGGAGGATTGTTCTGACTGATGATACAGGACTGAATTACACACCAACTGGGATGCACTGCTTGCTTCAGATCATGGTCCACCATGACCGCCTTGGTGCCTGCAGGATCTTCAAAGCCACGGAAAGAAGAGTGGAGGGAGTTACGCCACAGGATTCCTTCTCCCCATTAAGTGCTTCACTCTAGAGCAGAGTAAACTCTGTCCTCTTTTGCTTGAATCTGGGTCCTCTTTGAAAAGTCAGTGGGGAGGCCACACCCCTGCAGCAGCAGTTCCCGAATTCCCGTGAGACCTGGAAGCCTCACAGGAGATCAGGAGAGGCCTTGACTTTGTTGCTAGGGTTTCCAGATCTCCCCGGCCACAGGTCAGGGATGGGGGCATAGGGCTGCCAGCTCCAGGTTAGGAAACTCCTGGAAATTTGGAGGTGGAGCATGGGAAAGACAGGGACCTCGGTGGGATACAGTGCCATGGAGTCCACCCTCCAAAGCATCAATCTTCTCCATGGGAACTGATTTCTGTAGTCTGGAGATGAGCTGTAATTCCGGGAGATCCCCAGGCACCACATGGCGCCCCCACTTGTTGCCAGATTGGGAACCCTTGGCCAGCGACCTGCTGGGCTGCCCACCTCCTGCTGGCCAGCCTGGATGTCAAGGCATGGCCCTGCTTACCCCAAGCTTCACCCCACTGCACCAGTATCTATATGGGTGCCGTTTGGATGGCCTCATGCTGGATACTGTTGGGGTGCTGGGGTTGTCCCTGGGTCCCTACACTGGCTAGGTGAAACTGGGTGGGACCCCAGTTCTGGGCACCCAGTTTTTTTATATTTGTCCATCTGAAGTTCAGTTTAAGGAAAAATTCAGTTTGGAATTCCATTGTATGCATTCATGTTTATTTATAGAAATACGACTGTGAAGCCATTCAAGGAGTGATATATAAATACCAAGTATAAAAATTATAGATATGAAATAAATATTTTAACAAAATATAAATAATTTTTAAAGGCAGTGACATATTTATAGTACTGCAACAAAATAAATAGTAACATTTTCAAGTATCCAGTTTAAAACTGACTAAAATCAAGTCTAAAGAGCGTTTCCATCCAAATACGTTATTCCCAACATAACTGGCCAATTTTCTGCTTGTGTTCAGTTGACTGATGTGGGTTCAAGTTCAGCATCTTTTACGGACAGACTTTGGCCATTCTCTTGAAAATGCATCTTGGGACGGAGTGTATCTTGCTCCTGCAAGAATGCTCGTCAGACTTCAGAGAATGAAGGTCCTTTCTTTATCCCTCTAGCCAGCAAGTCATTTCTGAAGCACATCTGCCTCAGATTTCAGACAGCTTGCAGGAGGTCCTTTTCTCAGTCCAGCATCACTTGATATATTGTTCTTTATTTCTAATTGAGTCATTTCTGCAAACATACAAACTTCAGTGGCTTTCCATCTCTCCGTTTTCTGTGTCTTGCTGTGATCACGCAACTCCAAGTCTCCTTGGAAACTTGCTGGTATTTGAATAGGAAAGAGTAATTCCAGAATGTATGCAGATGACTGGAATGTTGCTGATTGGTTGGCAGTGCAAACTTCAAAAGGGTGGGGTTTTTTCCTTGAGACGTTTTTGTTATAAGCAGCAATGGGCAAGCAGAGGATTTCAGTGTGATAAAATTCCACATGGAGCTGAAAGGGTAGATGGGAGCACCGGCTGGAAGGGAACACAAAAGGGAGAAAAGGTCACAATACTGTCAATTTGCATCATATAATAAAATGCTCCCCCCCCCCCAGATGACTCAACCCTTTAAAGATGAAATCTCTTTTCAGTCATGGTCCTATAAAGGATACAATGTTTGTACTGAGGTTATATCTGGCAAACTTTTGTGCCTTTAAATTAAATGGGGATCTCAGTCACATATCCCCTTGAAATCAAGAAGACTTTAGAAAGTGTCTGTATGGCTGGCCACTGCTGCCTCTAATACTGTGCTGTATGGACTTTTGCCTCATCCAGCAAGGTGATCCTTGCATTGTTAAGAGAAGACTCTCCTGTTTCCCCTGCATAAGGTCACGTTTCAGCTGTAGCATTGCCACCCCATGTCCAGTAATGTTGGAAGCTTTGCCAGAATAAGCTAGTTTTAACATAAATGGTGCACAAGAAGTCCATAGAGTTTCTGTACCCCCTTTCGCCTTTTCACCTTCTCCCCCAACTGCAGTAGCAAGAGAGACTTTAAAGTTGCTCCAAGCAGGCTAGGGAAGAGGGTGAGCATAAGGACCAGTAAAAGAATGGCAGAGCAGAGGCACAGCTGCTGCACTGTGTCTTGCAAACACTACAGAAAACATCAGCTCTCTAGGTGTCTAGCTCACAGTCCTTCTAACAAGGCAAGCTGGTAAAGAAGTGAGAGAGCCGGGATTGCAAAAAAGGGGTGGTTTCTTGGACACCGAGGATAAAAGGAACTGCATTACAAATCCAAAGAACACGCTTGGCAAAGCCTGACTCTTGTTGCATGTCTGTTGCAATCACAGAGGTGGCAAAATGGGACCTTTGGCTGACTGGAGGCCTGGGGTCCACGCAAGAGTTCTCTTTAGCAAAATCTGGTCCTTGAGGTCAAACACAGCACAAATGATTTGTGGAGGCACCAACACACCAGTCTGTAGGGCAAATATGATGACCCTAGCTAGTTTTATCTCATGAGATCTTGGAAGCTAAACAGGATCAGCCCTAGTTAGTACTTGGATGGGAGACCACCAAGGAAGTCCAGGTTTGGAAAGCAATGGCAAGCCACTTCAGAATGTCTCTTGCCTTGAAAACCCCATAAGGAGTCACCATGAGTTGGTTGGGAGTCCAGTGTTCCCTCTAAGCTGAGTTAGTGTGAGCCAGCTCACAGTTTTTGAGCCTTCATCTCACACATTTTTGTCTCCGCTCAGGAAGGAGGGCTCCAGAGCAAACTAAGTTATGCAACAGCCGAATTGCTCACTCACAACTTTAATGCTAGTAGCTCACAAAGTAGAATTTTTGCTCACAAGACTCCACAGCTTAGAGGGAACATTGGTTGGGACTTGATATTACTTTTCACAACCCCGTGTGATACGGGACATCCATAAGTGGATCTCCAGCAGAAAGATGTTTGCAGATGTCGAGCAGGGGAGTGGATCCTTTCACCAGATATTTCCCCAATAGATATTTGTGGTCCAAAGCTGCTGTTAGTCACAAGTGGGGAAAGACAGGAGTAATAAATTGCTCATCTTTTCTTCCTTTGCCATTAACCTTTGGCCTTGGGCAGGATTTCTCTCAGGTAAACAGTAAAAAGGAGAGGGTTAAATCATGTGAACCATATTTAGGTTCTGCTGTGCTTTGAAACCTTCTAATAAATATTGGGGATTCAGTTGCCCTCTCACATAATGCACAGTTAAAAATGTCCCAAGCAATGTTTTGATTTGGGCAATACATTCAAGAATCCCCCCCCCCAGTAGAATGAGAATATGTCACATTATTTTAAAACATGGCGTGGTTTTAGGAGTTTCAAGGTCATTTTTGATCACCATTACTAATCCATACAATTTAGTCTTTAATATCAAGACTGCTAAATGGCTAAAAAGAGTATCATTCAACAGCACACTATACAGTATGCGTATCTTTGGGGGTTCTATATCTGAGATGATGTAGTTCAGAAGACAGCCCCTTGACTTACCTTCAATTTTAAAACCTGTTCAAAAGTTTATCGAGACTGACAAAGAAGAGCTTCCATATTTCCAGTCGCACAACACTCCAGGCACAAAGGCAGTACTGCTGGCCCTCCAGGAATGTTTGGATTTGTCTGAAGTATCTTAGCAGATTCAGGTTTAAATCTCGCTCTTTCAGTGTTGCCACCTCCCCAGTCTCTGTAGTAGAACAGTTCTTCCACTGATTACTTTGCTGGTAAAGGGCATTTTGCAAAAGTGCTACGGTTCTTGGATCCCATCCAGCTTGAGTGAAGTTGTGCTCAAAGATCTTCAGGATCTTTTCAAGGATCATCTTCACAGCCACACTTTTACCCTCTTTGCTGGCTCTGAGGATTTTTTCCTCAGGAAAGCTAAAGGTTGGTCTTTTGTACAGGCACTCTTGAGGAAGCTGCTGTCCTCCTATGGCTTCCATGCGCTTTCGGACCTCTGGGTTGTTCACTCGCAATTGGTTCTCTGCAGTTTTGTTGCAGTCTAGAGCCAGGATTTCCAAGGTCAGCAGAAGCAGGAGACAAAGTCCCTGGAGGCTAAGAGTGGCCATGGTAGGTCTTCTTTGAACTGAACAAAGCAGATGAGAGAATGGACCTCCTTCAAGGTCTCCAGAAGATGTTCTTGGTGCTTTGGAGCCATGTCTTCTGAATTTTTATACCCAGCTGCAAGAAACTCTCCAGTCCTTACATCACTTTCTGCCTCTCTCTCTCGTTTGCAGTTTTTATTTTCACTTTCCATTTAATTGCATCAGGAACTTTGAGGGTATTTTGCCACCCTCTATGGAATGAAGACGAGTAAATAACTTTATATCGTATTAGTGAGTCAGTTAATATTGTATTAATATGTATGTTATCTATGACTGACACTGCAGTCCTATACAGAGTTACTCCAGCGTAAATCCATTGAAATCAGTGGGTCTAGACTTGATCCCACTTTGCAAAGGATTTCATTGTGAAACATTGCTCTGCGTAGATGGAAATTCCGTAAACATACCTGAGTGTTACTCAGATTTTGTAGTCTGAGGTCACCACTCCCTGCTCTTGCTGGAGGTATGTGGGACCTGTGTCTCTCCTAGACTGGGCCTCGGTGATCACAATGGGGTGTGCGTGTGTGGGTCCTAAGGATCCTTATCTCTACAGCGCATGCCCCCTGTTAGTGTTAATTGGCAAGAATTGGGTTGTTCATCAAAGCTTAGAAGAGGTGGGACCCCCCCCACACGCACATCACTGCTAGTTGAGTGGCAGGGTGATTTGTATTTTGTGTAGCAAGAAAGTTGGCACTGTGTTTAGACACCAGCAGGATAAAGGAGAGGAGCAGACAGGCTCCGGGTCAGATATGAGAAGTGGCAGAGTGAGGAGGCAGCCATTTCTGAGGAGTGGGCTGAAGCACCCAGCAGGTCCGGGATCTCTCTCTGCCTCTGGGGATCTGTTGGGGGTCATTGGGGCACTCTTGGGGGAATCTCTTATTTCCTTCTGTGAAGTGTGCAGGAAGAAGACAGATTAGATTATTTCAGCCTGCTTGTTTAAACCCACAGGCACTGACAGGAAGGTAACCCCCACTCCCATACACTTTCCTCACACAGTGTCCCACCATCCATATTGGGCCCCTCACAGCTGCTTTTCCAGTCATGGACTCTCAGGTCTATTTGTAGTTTGATCCCAAGTATCAATCTGGAATGTGCCACTGGCAGATTAACAATATATAGCTAGTAGAACTGGCAAATCTAATGTACACGCTCTTCATTGTAGGCTTTGCATTTGTAGTACAGCCGTGGAGTACACAAAGATCACTATGTCAGTTGTAAAATGGCCAATATCTGTTTTACTAGCACTGCTTTCAAGATTGTTTAATTGTCATTGGGTCTTAATATGGAACCTCAGGGTGTTAACAGCTTTGCAAGAGTTTATAGCTCTCTTTATTTGGAAAGCAAGCATGGACGGCTTCAAAAGGGAATTAGATAAGCATATGGAGCAGAGGTCCATCAGTGGCTATTAGCCACAAGGTATAGATAGGGACTCTGGGGCAAGTGATGCTCTGTCATCTTGGTGCTTGGGGGGGGGGTCAACAGTGGGAGGGCTTCTAATGTCCTGGCCCCACTGGTGGACCTCCTGATGGCACTGGTATTTCTGGCCACTGTGTGATACAGAGTGTTTGACTGGATGGGCCTTTGGCCTGATCCAACATTGGCGTCTCTTATGTTCTTATGTTCCTCACAGTCTGCCATTCTCAGGTTTCTTGGGTGAGAAGGCATAAGGAACACTGAAGAGTATGTGGCTCATTTAAAATCTGTTTAAGACTGCAATTCTGTTCTCACTTTCATGGTCATGAGTTCCCTTTAGGTGGACCCCTAAGTGGGGCTTACTTCTAGGTAAACTTATTTAGATTGAGCGGTGACAAAGCTTCCTCCAAAGGGGCTGAGAACTGAAATCATTTGAGAGATGCTTTGAGTTTTCTGGAACAGCTCCATGAATGGACAGTGCCTGCCACTCGATGGAAGAAAGAAGGAACAATTTCTTAGTGCAGGGAGACTGGAGTGTGTGAATCTATCCAGTGCTCTGAGCTGAAGCATCATACATACGGCAATGCCTTACATGAAGTCAGAGCACTTGTCCATCAGGGTCAGGGTTGTCTGCTTCAACTGCCAGAGACTCTCCGGGGTTTCAGTTATAGAGGTCTTTCACATCACCTACTATCTGATCCTTTAAATTAGCAATGCTGGGCATTGAGCCCAGGACCTTCTGTATGTAAAGCAGATGCTCTACTGCTGAGCCATGGCACCTTATTTTTCACTGTCTTGTGGAAAAATGCAGAAGGTGTCTGCTGAGACAGGTAAGCATGCCTGAATTGTCCTGCACGGTCAGTTGCAAACAGCTGAGGCTATTGCAATTGTTTCTCGTGTCAAGGAATCCCAGAGAACTTAAGGGAGAAAGTTTGGGTTCGTTTTTTATTCCATGACAGCTGTCATTCTCTGATTTTAGTATTTTTATGTTTTCCACCCTAAGAGATTTTGCATCCTGCTTTTGAGTTATTTGGAAAGCAAGAGACACAGAATCAGTTTCACTTCCTGTGGTTTGATTTGATTTTTACTTGTCATCTAGTCACACAAAGCGAGGTTTTTTTAAAAAAAACAATCTTCTCTCTGCTAGGGAATATTTCAGTCTTAAAAAAAGAAAAGGAAATCACACTTGTCTTGTTGCATGGGGAGGCTGTGCTGTGAGCTGTGGGGCTAACAGGCAGAGTGTGTCAGGAGAGGCTGGCATGGCATTAGTTAGGAGTCGCCAGGTTGTGACCTGGAGATTTGCTGTCTACTCTCAAATCCATCCATGACAGTCCTTTCGTCTTCCTCATTCCCAGTCTGCTGTCTGGCACATCTCAGCTGACAGGAACAAGGAAATTGGGTGGGGGGAAAAGAACGTGCACATAATCTGCCACTCCTTCTTGGGACTGAAGTGTCAAAATATCCCCACAGGAGCTCTAATGTATTTGTTTAGTTTTCAGTGCTTGTGCCTTTGGAGAAGGGAAGAGGGTGATGTCAAGTCGCAGCTGTCAGGTTTCCAAGGGAAGAGATGAGCAGAGGTGGTTTGCCATTGCCTGCCTCTGCATAGCAGCCCTGGACTTCGCTGGTGGTCTCCCATCCAAACACTATAGGCTGACCCTGCTTAGCTTCTGAGAGCTGAGGAGACTGGGCTAGTCTGGGCCATCCAGGCCAGGGTGCAGAGAAGAGGGAGATGGCTGGGTGACTGAGATGCCTGGCTAAGAACATTCAGACTTGGATGTTAGGTAAAGGTAAAGGTTTCCCTTGCTCAAAAGCCAGTCGAATCCAACTCTAGGGTTGCGGTGCTCATCTCCGTTTCAAAGCCAAAGAGCCAGCGCTGTCCAAAGACGTTTCCGTGGTCATGTGGCCGGCATGATGACTAAACACCAAGGCGCACGGAACACTATTTCCTTCCCACTGAAGTGGTCCCTATTTATCTACTTGCAATTTCTTGCTTTGATCTGCTAGGTTGGCAGGAGCTGGAACTAGAGACGGGAGCTCACTCCGTCATGCGGCACCCGGGTCTAGCGTCTTAACCACTTGAGCCACCGCAGCTCCTTGGATGTTAAGGGGGAATTATTTATTTATTTATTACTTGCATTTATATTCCACCCATCCCGCAGGTGGGCTCATTAGAATAAATACATTTTTTAGTTTATAACATTTTAGTTATAAACATTAAAACACGATAAAACATTATAACAATTAAAACAATGGGTACAGCTTGGAACAGCGTCAGTTGACTATAAAGTTCTGGCCCGATGGTACAATGAGTTAAAGGCCAGTTGTCAGTGGTCAGTAGACAGGTGACAGACGGGTGACAGCAACCTCAGGGAGGCCATACAACCAAAGGCCTGGCGGAACAGTTCCGTCTTGCGGGCCCTGCGGAATTGAAGGAGATCCCGCAGCGCCCTGGTTTCAATAGGGAGCATGTTCCACCAGGCTGGGGCCAGGACAGAGGAAGCCCTGGCCCTGGTTGAGGCAAGATGGGCATCCTTTGGGCCAGGGACCATCAGGAGATGTTGATCTTTCGAGCATAACGCTCTTCAAGGCGTATACGGGAAGAGGCGGTCCCCCTTAGATATGTTGGTCCCAGGCCGTATAAGGCTTTGAAGGTCAAAACCAACACCTTGAAGCGAATCCGGTACTCAACTGGCAACCAATGCAGTTGGCGGAGCATGTGCCTAATGTGAGCCCACACAGGCGTTGACATCAGCAGGCGTGCCGCCGCATTCTGCACCAGTTGTAATTTCTGGATCAGCTTCAAGGGTAAGCCTGCGTAGAGCGAGTTGCAGTAATCAAGTCTGGAAGTGACTATTGTATGAGTCACCATCGCTAGGTCTTGGGGGGAACAGATAGGGCTTCAATAGCCTGATCTGCCTAAGATGGAAAAATGCAGATCTGGCAACTGCAGCAACCTGGGCCTCCATGGAGACAGAGGCATCCAGTGTCACTCCCAGATTCCTCACTGTCTGGGCTGGCACCAAAGGCGCCCCCTCCAGTGTTGGGAGCCTAGTGCCCCCATCCAACCCCCCTAGACCCAGGTACTGGACCTCCATCTTCGATGGATTTAACTTCAGCCGACTCAGCCACAACCATCCAACCACAGCATCCAAAGCCAAGTTCATGGGAACGGAAGATGGATGGCTGTCCATTAACAGATAGAGCTGGGTATCATCCGCATACTGATGACAACCCAACCCATAACTCTGGACTAACTGGGCGAGGGGGCACAAATGGATGTTAAATAACATTGGCGAGAGGATCCCCCCCTGTGGCACCCCACATTCCAGTGGGTATTGCGGGGAGACCCTCTCGCCAAGTGGTCTTTAAGTTTAGAGAAGTCATAACCACCAAACTTCATCTTACATCACCACACAGCAACTGCTTGCTCACCATTGTGGTCAGGATTTAAAGAGTGGCTTGGCCAGTAGGTCATCATATACACAATGAAGATCCTCTGTTTTGCATTCCTCACTCAGTGTAGGGCATGGAAGATATTCTGCAACTTAAAA